ACAAAATTTTTTTTGCGATATATTTGGAAAAATAATACAAATAAATTTGTTTTGCTGTATGTTATAAAAATACTACATCGTACTTTTTGAATTAAAGTAAAAAAACACAGCTTTGTGTAATTACACTTTTCATTTGTTAAAAGTCTACCGTGGCGTCAAATACTAAAACTTTTATGAATTAAACACGCTTTAAAGGAATTGCTAAAGTCTGTAGATTGCGAAGTATAATTTAAAGACTCCGAGTTATTGAATAAAATGGAGAAGGCGAGCTTTGGCTAAAACAACAACAGTTTTTCTCGGTATGCATTCATTATTTATTTTTAATCAAAAAAACTTGGTTCAAACCTTTTTTTTTAACATTATCTTTAATATGAACACAACATGTGTTGGGAGTTTGGGATCCCTTTAAAGTTTAAAAAGCCATTTATCTTCAGTTTGGCTTAAAAATGCATGGTAAATCAAGCAAACATTACAAGAGTAAAAGAAACACAGATGTTTAATAATGGAAAGAAAAATGTTTAGAAAAAGAACAATTTCCTGATAAAACATCTGTTGAACAGTTAGCTATTTATGCTTCTTTTGAACATTGTGGTAGAAGTAAAAGAACATTTATTTGGACTGCTACCAATAAGTAAACTTATGGGGACTAACTTTTCAGCTAAAAACTTCATGAAAGTCATCAATTTGGTCAAATGAGAAAAAAGAAAGTTTAATATCTATGATTATTATTATTATCTATTAATTTTATCTATAAATTATTATGATGCATTTATATTTCAAATATAAATGCCATTTATATTTGAAATACAAATGCATCATAATATTTTTATAACTTAATAACATCTTAATATTTGTTACGTATAAAGTGTTTACTTATTCATGTACGACAATCATACTGTGCTGAGCACAGTATGATTGCTTTTTTTCTTCAACTCTTGTCGCTGTTGTTGAATTGAGTATTTTGAGATTAAAACATTTCATTTCCTTTCGCAATGTAAAAAACTTAACAACATAACAAACTTAACAAAGAAACTTAAAACCATCAAATTCAACTTTTGTTTCTCCAGATCTTTATTTTTCTCTTGTTGCTCATATATATATATATATATATATATATATATATATATATATATATATATATATATATATATATATATATACATATATATATATATATATATATATATATATATATATATATATATATATATATATATATATATATATATATATATATATATGTATATATATATATATATATATATATATATATATATATATATATATATATATATATATATATATATATATATATATATGTATATTTATATATATATATATATATATATATATATATATATATATATATAAATATATGCATATATATATATATATATATATATATATATATATATATATATATATATATATATATATATATATATATATATATATAAACACATGTATATATAGATTTTCATCACGTTATATATATATATATATATATATATATATATATATATATATATATATATATATATATATATATATATATATATATATATATATATATGCATATATATAAACACACGTATATATAGATTTTCATCACGTTTTTGTCAGTTATATAACTGTTTAACAAACCAAACATTGTGTATTATAATATCATAGTATTATTGTTATATTTTTGTATAATATGATCAATTTATTATCTTATAGTTGTAATATAGCGTATAATAGGGTTCGAATATATTCAAATTACATGCATCATGATGATATATTATAAATAAATATTGATATAACATCTTTATGACAACCATTAAGATGTTATATTATTAATTAAGTTGAACCTAATGTATTTAATTTATTTATATTAAAATATTATTATATTATTAATATAGCATAACATCTTATGCAAAATAATAGTAACATTGTTGTTTAAATTGATATATTATAGTATATTGTATATTATTTGAATTATATTTTAAAAGATGCTGTATTGTTATAATGCAGTTATGATTTTGATAATATATACAATTATTGAATTATTATATTCATAAAAAAAGCAACTATATCTTTATAAATATTAATAAAACACTATATATTTACAAAATATTCTATTTCACAGTTTTTTGTTATATGGTACGTGTCTCATTAAGTTTAACTATCATAATTCATTTAGTTGTTTTAATAGCTTTATTTTGTTTTAGTTTAAATAGAAATTTGATTAATTTGGTCAAGATTAAATCTAGCGTTAAGCTCAATATACTGCTTTAAACGATTACTCTGATGTAGAATGTGTTAAAAAATCTCATTTGTATAAAAATATATAGAAGTATATAAAGCCAACACATTAACAATGATTTGTCACCGAGCATATTGAGGAGCAACCCAATTTCTTCAGAAGCAAAAATGTAACTGAGAGTTTTTAAGTTAACTGGGAGTTTCAAATAGTAATTGGTAAAAACTACTAGTCAATTCAAAAAAAGAAAATTTTTTATTTTTTTCTATTTTTGAATTGAAAAAGACATTAGAATATAATCCTAATGCAGATTTCCTTTTTGCTTATTAACAGTCATGATTGCACCATTTAATCAGCCAACTACACCAGAAAAAATCTATTTCAATAAAGTTCACCTACAGATAGATAGTGATGTGGGGCAATCCTTTGATCATCTCAAAAACCATTGGATGTCACAAGAGACGTGAAGCATTTCAGTGCTCCTAAACATATGCTTACCCAAACTATATATTGCAAAATATATTTTAAGTGTAAGTTGCAGAAAACTTTTACAATTCCTTAGGATTAGAAATTCCAGATGACATAAACTTTGAGGACAACAACGAAGATGATGTACACTATGTTCAGGTTGAATTAACACAAGTCAACCAATTCTACTTGGCATTGTACAAAGAACAGTAGTTAAAACTATGTTATTAAATTGAATGGGATATGGGGATATATATGATTTACGTGATATTTATGAATGAAAAAAATGAAAGTTTTTTATTTATTAATTGCATATTAAACAATTTAAAAATTTATCTGCCCTTAATAACCACTTTGTAGAATAATCAATTCTGAACCCTCTCTACCTCTTTTCAACTTAAAACTATTTTCCTAATATTTATAATTTTTTTTTTAAATAAATATTCAATAAAAAGTATTTAGTTTTTACAGCAAAGTTTATAAAAAGTATTATTGTCATTTTAATAGGGTGTGAAAAATGTTAATTAGTAATAACCCCTAATTTAAATTAGTTAGAAATTATATGAATTCAATATTAGAAAAGTTTGTTTTATAAAATTACGAAAACTTGGTTTATTCAAACAAAAATTAACTTGGTTGATTTTTGAGTAAGTTTTTGCGTAAGTTTGGCGCAACTCGTGCGCAACCCTAACTTTATGGAAATGCTGCGAAACATTGGTGAATACCAAAACTACGCTGAACTTACGATTTCTGTAACCTTAGTTGAGCTACGCAAGAGTTACGAAAGTTTGGTGAATCCGCACCCAGGGTCCTAACAAAAAAACCTTTACTGACATCTTTTTTTTATAAATAAGAATAAAATAAAAAAAAAGACATTGAAAAAACTATTTACAAACATAGATATTAAAATTTTAGGTATATTTTTTACACGAAAAAAAATATCATATTTTTATTATATGATGATCAGAGTAAGCATAAAACTTAAAGTTGTAAATGTATATATATATATATATATACATTTACAACTTTAATAAAAATATAATAATAATATATATGTTTATATATATATATATATACATTTACAACTTTAATAAAAATATAATAATAATATATATGTATATATATATATATATACATTTACAACTTTAATAAAAATATAATAATAATATATATGTATATATATATATATATATATACATTTACAACTTTAATAAAAATATAATAATAATATATATGTATATATATATATATATACATTTACAACTTTAATAAAAATATAATAATAATATATATGTATATATATATATATATATATATATATATATATATATATATATATACATATTAGACAAGAGACATTCAGATTTTAGAAAACATTCAACAAAAAACTACAAAAGTAATTTTTTCAATGTCAAAACTGCCATAAAAAGAAAGACTCAAAGCACTAGGACTTACCACCCTGACTAAGAGAAAGATTAGAAGTGATATGGTACAATATTTTAAAATAATACGTCAGATTGATGTCATTAACTGGCATTACCTACCAAAGTCAAGTATCTAATAATAAAATATAATCTTGATGTCTTTATTTAATGATTTAAATTTAAAATATTATACAATTATAAAATATTATTACAAAGTACATACCATTGGAACAGATTGGTTCGGCCCCAAAACCTTTTTAACAGAAGTTGCAATATCTAATATATATATATATATATATATATATATATATATATATATATATATATATATATATATATATATATATATATATATATATATATATATAGCTCTGATTTTAATTAATCTCATTGAGCTCTCTTATTTACGATACATGCAAAGACTTATACATTATTATTTAAAAATTTTAATGCTAATCTTAAAAATTTTAATGCTAAAATATAAAAATGTTAAATTATTGTTAAAGGTATGTGGAGATTTAAATGTTAAAGAATTGGGTAATTTATCAGTCACTACTAAGTGGACTTACTTTTTTACCTATTGTTTACATTATCTATTACAATATTTTTCACATTATCTATTACAAAAATTGAATGTTAATGCATCATATGACAATAACATCAAGATTAAACAAAAATCATTCTCAATTGTAATTTGCTCCCTTCAGATTTTAAGAAATTTTGAAAGATCACTAATGATAAAGTTTTAAATAAATATTATTTAAATATTTTGTTAATAGACTAAGTCATAGATAAATATTATTTTCACACTAAAAAAAAATATTTTGTTATAAAGTTATATAGATTTATTTTATTTTATGAAATAGTGGACCCTAATGGCTTATATGATTGAAGGAGGAGGTTCCAAAACATATTCTAAAGTTAAGAAATGTCTGTATGTCGATCCAGATTCTTGTAAAAATTTGCTCAACATTTTAACTAGAGTATGTATTGATTTTCTGGTTGAGCAAGTCAAAGCAGGAGCACAAGTAAGTTTTTCACCCAAAACATATCTTATTTTATCAAAAAAAGGTTGTTACATGATGTGATTCATTTATTAGATATTGCAAGTGTTTGACTCCCATGCTGGTGAACTTTCTGCTGACATGTTTAACATTTTTTGTCTACCGTATTTAAAAGATATTGCAACTTCTGTTAAAAAGGTTTTGGGGCCGAACCAATCTGTTCCAATGGTATGTACTTTGTAATAATATTTTATAATTGTATAATATTTTAAATTTAAATCATTAAATAAAGACATCAAGATTATATTTTATTATTAGATACTTGACTTTGGTAGGTAATGCCAGTTAATGACATCAATCTGACGTATTATTTTAAAATATTGTACCATATCACTTCTAATCTTTCTCTTAGTCAGGGTGGTAAGTCCTAGTGCTTTGAGTCTTTCTTTTTATGGCAGTTTTGACATTGAAAAAATTACTTTTGTAGTTTTTTGTTGAATGTTTTCTAAAATCTGAATGTCTCTTGTCTAATATGGTGACCATGATTGAATTGCAAGTTCTAAATATGGTCTAATATATTTTGTATAATTTCATCTGCTAATTTCTTGTCCATTAGGCAGCATTACCATTTCTTGACCATTAGACAGCATTACCATTTACACAGCTTGACTATTAGACCATTTGACATTAGAACTTTAGACATTATTGATATTAGCTTGTAAAAATCCACACTTGATTATCCCAATCGTTTTGCTTATTACCTCAATGATTTTGCATATAATTTTGCTATCATTAGTATATAATTTTATATTGTGTGTCAAATTATCTGGCAAGTCATTAATATACAACGCAAAAAGAAGGACTGATCCCTGTGGAACACTACTAACTTTATCTTTCCAATCTGATGTGTTTAGTCCTAATTTAACCTGTTGTTGCATTTTATTTAGTCATGCTTTAATCTATGCAAGCATCTGACCATATGAATAAATAAAAAAACACCATATGAATAAAGTTTGTGTAGTAGTCTTCTGCAAGGCACTGTATCAAAGGCTTTATCAAAGTCTGCAAAAATGATGTCAACAGAATAACCTTGGTTTAAAGCCTCTGTGATGATGTCAAGAGTTTCTAACAAGTAAGTCATGCGTGATTTTTTAAACACAATTCCATTATGTGTAATACACATGGAATTTCTGAAAGTTTATTATAAATATCCTGGTCAAATCAGAATTACTATAGTTTCTTCTGTTTAGTTTCTCTTTAAAAAGCTTGTTTCTCTTAAAAAAATACCATATCTTAGGACATCTCTTAGTGTTGGCAGATCAGCTGTTGGCATCTCTTTTCCAGATCCCAAATATTGAGGTAGACAAGAATCATTTTTCCATCTTGCTCCAGCAGCCATTTTAAAATTAATTATACTTTGTATCTAGTAATTTTGAAAATTAGTTATATATATACATATATATATATATATATATATATATATATATATATATATATATATATATATATATATATATATATATATATATATATATATATATATATATATATATATATATATATATATATATATATATATATATATATATATATATATATATATATATTAAAACAAAAAACTTTAGAATTATGTTTTCTGTGTAGCCATTTAGAACCATCAAATAAAATGTATAACTTAAATTACATACAAAACTGGCGCTAATTTACATCTCTACCCCCTATTTTTATTTTTGATTATGATAGAGAACTTTATGCTGATTAAGAATCGTATAAAAACACAGCTCTGAAAACTAAAGCAAAGTACTTTAATTAGATCTTGAAGTTTAAAATATTACACAAAAATATCGCTAATATTCGCTATCTTTTTTAAATGCAACTAAACACTTTTTTATAAATCTTATTTTTAACTAGGCAACTCGGTTTTTATTTTTATCGATACTAAAATTTACATAGTTTAAAAAAAATACAATTATTAATTATAATTAAATAATAAACTTTTTTTTTACATAAATTATTCTTTAAATTTTAAAAATTAATTAAACTTTTAAAGGTAATATTGCAGAATAGTGGCGTAAAATTCTGTTTGTTAACTTTTGCCCTCTTGCCCTTAGTTACTGATTTAGAGATAGGCGAGGGCTTCAGTACATACATCAACTGATTTAAGGAGAATTCGCAAGAGAGTTGGGGCAGGTATCAATTTATATCATTATTCTTCTAAATCAGTAACTACTATAAAACAGTTTCGTTTTTTGTTGACAACAAAAACCAGGTTGTTTATGTTATTTTCAAAGTTTACTTTTGAATGAATTTTAATCATAACAAAAAAGATGGTACAAAAATGGTGAATAATAGCGTTTTTAGTGTAATTTTTTAAACTTCAAGATCAAATTAGTAATTTTTTAAACTTCAAGATCAAATTATTACTTTGCTTCAATTTTCAGAGCTATGTTTTTATACGATTTCTTATCAGCATAAAATTTTCTATCATAATCAAAAATAAAAATAGGGGAAATATAAAAAATAAAAATAGGGGAAGAGCTGTAAATTAACACCACAAAACTTTAAAAAAAAAATAATTTTTAAGTATTCATAAAAGTTTCTGAAACAGTATAACTATTAAATGAATTTTATTTATCCTGCTTTCTTATTTTTCTTTCCTTATTCTTAATTTCTTAAGATAAGATTGTTGTAAAACAGATATAAGTCTAAAATATTGAAAATGATCCTGAAAGTATAAAATATCAAAAATTCACACTTTTCGGCAATTTTCAAGGCAGTTCACTGGTAGCTTAAACTAATTTAAATTTAAATTTTTTGATAGTTCTGAATTTCATATGTTAAACCTCACCCTTTTTTAAAAAATGCCACTAGTAAATATGAATTTTGGAGTTTTGACCAAAGTATGACACACCCTAATGTGTATTCAAGATGACTCTTAGCTGACTGTAGCTTCACAGTGATGCATGATGCAACCTCCCGGATAATTGCTTACATTAATTTTCCAGGAAGTGATGTTAAGGAGACTGGTCTTTAGTTTGAAGCCAAAAGTCTAGATTTTTAAAAATTGGTGCGACATTTACTTTTTTCCAACTATCGGGCACAATACCAGTACTAAGTGAACAATTATAGATTATACTCAAAGATAAAGCTTTACTTAAAGAACAATTCAAGAGGACTCGTGGGTGGATGCCATCGAATCCAGTGGACTTATTTGGATCAATTATTTTTAGTCTTTTAGTTTTTTATATACTCATGATTGAAGAAGTGGTCAGGAATTTCATTACATTGTATTTAAATTTGATTTTTAAAATAAGAAAGCTCATTTGATCGTTCCACAACAAAAACTGAATGAAAGAAACTACATAAAGCACTGCAAATTAATTCGTCTTCAGTATTGATTAAATTGATTATGATTATGTGTAATACACATATTAACATATATAACATTCATTAAACTTGAATTTAGATAAAATACATATAATAGTATACACATATAAAAAAAACTAATAAAAAATTGTTGGACTATAAGAAAACACTCTAGTTTTAATAAAATTATTCATATTTAATTTAATCAATACTGAAGGCGAATTAATTTGCAGAGCTTTAAGTAATTTCTTTCATTCTATTTTTGTTGTGAAGCCATCAGATGGACTTCCTTATTTTAAAAATCGAACTTTAATACAATGCAATTAAATTCCTGACCACCTATACACATTGTGTATACTATATGTATTTTATCAATATTCAAGTTTAACAAACTAAAAAAAGATAAATTCTAAGATTGTTTTGACAGTTTCAAAGACAGTTAAAAAGTGCAAAAAAAAATCTAGTTTTAAAATTTTATATCAAATATTTGGTATTTAAAAGTTTAAGATTACACATACAATCTTGCACCCATAATTCACAACTCTATTTTGATAAAATTTGGTCTGTTAAATCAAATACATGTGTTTTACACTTGATTTAGCTTGTTTTTTCATATATATATATATATATATATATATATATATATATATATATATATATATATATATATATATATATATATATATATATATATATATATATATATATTTTTTTCTTTTTTTTTTTTTTTTTTTTTTCTTATGACATTCAACTCGAAAAATAATTTTTTTCAGATAATATTTGCAAAGGGATCACATTATGCATTAAAAGATTTGGGTGAATCAGATTATGATGTGATTGCTTTGGACTGGACTATGAATATTGAGGATGCACGGTATTTTTTTATTTTATTCTAATACTTTTATTTTTTCTTTTGTTCTTTTTTAAGCATTTGTTCTTTTTTTAGCATTTGTCTTTTTGTAGGAATAAATAGTTCTTTTATATTTAAGTTTACCTTAAAACCCTGATATTTTTAATGTTATTTTTGTTTGTTTAGGCGACTATGTCCTCATAAAACTTTAATGGGAAATCTTGATCCTTGTGCATTATATTCTTCTAAGGTATGTGCTATTTTATTGATTTATTTTATAAATATTGCATTGTGTTTTCATTTCGTAAACAACATATGTTGTTCTGCAAATAACATGATATGTTAATAAAATGTTGTTCTGTCAATAACATGATATGTTAATAAATCGTCATACAATCCTTTATTGACTTTTATTTATTTAAAGTTTAACATTAAATTTAAAATATAAAGTTTATTTAAAGTTTACACAAATTAAAGGAATAAAAATGAGTTTTATATGAAAATTCGTATGTTTTCAACTTAAAATTTTTTTGTTTTTTCTATATAAAAGAGTCATCTTTTAAATTATGTAGGAAGACATTGACACCCGTGTCAAAAAGATGGTTCAAATGTTCGGAACATCAAAATACATCGCTAATTTGGGTCACGGAATTTATCCTGATGTTGATCCAGATCATATGGAAGCATTTGTTAATGCAGTTCATCGACATTCACAAAGTTTATAGATTTGTTATTTAAGAAAAGAAACATGTTTCTACTCTTTATTTTGTTAAATTAAATACTAGAGCTTTTTTATTATTTAATTTTTGTTGGAAATATTTATGTTATAAAAATATTTATAAGTTATGTATTTTCTGCATAAATTCGTAAAATTAGCCATATATATATTTAAAACTCAAAAATCGAAAATCAAAATTTTATCTTTAACAGTTTCTTTAAAAAGATTAAAGAAATTTCTTTATTTTAATAAAAGATAAAAGAAATTTCTTTATTTCAATTTATAAAAACGTAATGAACTAGATTTTTTTTTGTTAGTATTAAGTTCCTTAATCATTCGTTTCCGTCATAACGTTTCAAACTTTTAAACAGGTCTTCGCATTTTTATAGTCTCACTTTTCTTTTTTTCTTTATTTTTCAGAACTTTTTTTAGAATATATATTTTGTATTGAAAGATTTATACTTTTTTTATGACCAAAAAAAGGTTGCATGCCCTTCATGTTTTTGATAAGCCTTTTTAAAATTTTTAGTTTACGAATAAGCACCGACGAATAGTATTTTTATTAAACGAATATCAAATAGTTGCTATTCGTTAATTTTCGATGCCGAAGTTTAACAAATATTTAACAAATAACAAATGTTTAACGGGTAGTTCTATTCGTTTAATTAATAGTACTATTCGCTTAACGTATATTACTTAACTTATAATACGAATATATAAGAGATCGTCCACAAATTACGCAACGCAAAGCTTATTTTAAAAATATAAGTAGGAGAACATTTTGCTCTTTTGAGCGGCGGCTTTCGCTCGACTTGAAGGGTTATTTATACATGGACTAATTAAAGACTCTGCGAGGGAAAACTTTTAACACTTTTTCTTTTGTCTATTACTTAAATTTCGTCTTACGTAATTTATGGACCCTAACGTATATTACTTAACGTATATTACGAATAGTAATTCGTTAAACAAATATTTTAACGAATAGCACTATTTGTTTTACGATTAGTACTTATCATTAATTATCAAGAAAAGTACTATTCGTTTCACAGTTATATGCAAGTTTAACGAATAGCAGTTGCACACCCACGCTGAACCAGATTTTAGTTTGATGAAATGACATAGGGTTGTGTCATACCTTTTTGAAATTGTTAGAACCATACCATTCAGGGAAAGTTAGTGAAAAAAATCATAAAACTAATCTTTAAAAAATATTTGGGTTTATACAGGGGTCAAATAGGGTCCCGGACTTAGGCGCCCCTCTAACTGATATCAAGACCCACCACAGGGGTGCATGCAATTGATGTACATTTTGTCAGAAAATATGACTAGTCGTTATATGTCCCCCTCAGATGGGTCTTAAAAGCAGTCTGAGGGGCGCAAATACCGAGTACTTTTTCCTTCTTAAAATTAAAAGGGAAAAAAAAAACATTATTTTTAGAAAATATTTATTAAGCATTATTTAAATGTTTTCCATTGAAACTAACTACTGCTTTTTTCAAATACTTTGCATACTTTTGATGGTTATCAGACACTTTGAAACGTTCCCAAGCTTCTTTTAGAAATGAGTAGTAAAGAGCTTCCCCTGCTTGTTCACTAAAGCAACCCAATCCAATGTCCTTATCTATACAAAAAGGACCTACATGTTGAAATATAATGTGTAACTTCACAGTAACTGTCTTTTCATAATCTTCTACTAAGGTTGAATAATGATTCTTAAATAACCGAATGTCTTTTTCTAATGTTGGCCTTAAATTTACACCAAAACAAGAGTGAACAAGGTTTTCAGAAGCCTGAATGCTTCAGCTAATGGTTTTAATAGGACTGGAAACAAGTTATAGTACTTCACCAAATTTTTTAATATTTTTTGACAACCATTGCCATTATATGACCCATTTCTCATTGATTTAGAACTATTTAAGTCATTTTCGATCCTTTTTAATAGTACTGGATCAGCTAATTTGTTTATTGTTTTAAAGATATGGTTTGTTGCCCCTTCCATCAAATGAAGTTCTGGAGGAGAAAGATGATTAACAACTAGATCATTATCATCAACAATTAAAAGAACTTCATTAATACAGTTAAAATATTCTTTTGCTATAATTTTCTTTGATCAGCTCAATTTATACAATTTACTGCTTATTCTTAGTGACCCAAGTGTTCGTAACTCAGTGCAATCATTTTTAAAAACCTCTGTTTTGTTCCATGTACAAATATACCACGGATGAGTTGCCATGGAACTCGGAGACATACCACACATGACTTGACAGAGTTTGATATCTGCCACACAAGTAAAGTTTATTTTATCCAAACAGAGTTTGTTAAGCAGAATTTTAACATTATGGTTTGTCTCTGGTACATCTGGTACCAGTGCTATAATAAATGATGCTTTTACAGATCCTTCCTTGAAATTTGGTGATTTAATTTCTCCATATTTTCTCTTTTTGTTTTTAATTGTTTCACTAGGATTTGATACAAAATTTAAGCAAACCTGAATATTTTATAATAAATTACACTTTTTATTATTTTTAATTATAAAAAAAAAGTGGCACATTATAAAATCAAATTACCTTAAGAAATCCCCGACCTCCGTCAATGGAAATTTTTATATACTGGTTTTGAGGATAGGCTCCTTTTTTATCTATTATTTGCCACAGAAACTCATTGACATCTGTTGTTCTGATAAATGGAGTTTAAACAAACTTTTTTCCTCTACAGATTTAATATTAAAAAGTTCAAAATCCTCAACAAAACAATCATCAAGTTGCTGGTCAATACTTTTGAGCTCTGCTGCTAACCCTGATTGTACAATTTTTCTATTTTGTGTTTTGAATCGTTATTCTTTTGCTGGCTTTAAAATTTTTGTGTTACTTAATTCTAAAGTTGATTGTATGTCAATCTTACTGTTTATAGACAGTTGTTGTATATTACTAGTATCATGGTTTCTCTTAAGTGTAAAACTTACTTTTTTACCACCAGTAGCAAGTATCGCTTTACCCTTTTTGTTTATTTTGTCTTTTATTAAAGAACTAGCTATTTGTTCAATTGTCTTGACATTATTTGCAAGCTTTTGCATTACATTACATTTAAGTACAGCTAAAGAGCATTTGTGGGTAATTCCTTTGCTAATAATTGAAAAGCAAGTTTGACAAGTTAGACTAATAACTGGAGGTTGCGCGTTACATATACGTCCCTTTTTGAATTTTTTAAGTCTTCCTTGGGTAGATCCAATTATACATATTTTGCATTTACATACAAAAACACTTCTAGTTTAAACGGGTAATTTAATTTAATTCTACTTTACGTGTAAAGCTCTTTTCCTCTTCTTATACTGCTTTTGCAAGATTCGCAAATAGCTTTAGGATATAATGAATTTTTAATGTTGTATTTAAAATTCACTAAATTTTTAATCCACGGTACATTAATATTGTTAAGTTTATTTGTTTTTTTGGCACAATATAAACACACTTTTCTCCTGTTTTCCTCATGAGTACAGGTCGGTTTAAATAAACTCATTCTATCTAGAAAAATAAAACAATTTAAGAACACAGAGAAAACACACTTTTTATTATACCTAAAATATAAAGATTTATATACCATATAATAATTCTTTAAAAAATGTTTCAAACACTATACAAATATAACATAATATAATACAAATATAAATGCTGACTATTACAGCATATAGGTTCCTTATTAAATTCCATTTAACATTACTTACAAGCGTTGTTAATTATACTTCAATTTTTAAGGTTAAAACAAAATGAAAATATGCAGAATTAAGAAATTTCATTACTCATGTGTTAATGATGAGTTGTGGTCTGTTTTGCATTGTTCAGTATAAAACTATTGCTCAGTATAAAACTACTGTACAATATTTGTATGCTTTTTTATTTTATTTTTTCAATAAAAACATATTTGACTAGATTGATAAAGTGATTTTTGATATTTTGTTTAAAGTAAAATATATTATTTGTTTTTTATAAACTTGTTTATAAAGTTTAATAATGATTATATACACACGGGTCAAAATAGGTGATGAACTTTGAAGCCCCTCGGGTTGTTTTTTAGACCATCTAGAAGGGGCAACTAATAACTAGTTATATTATTTAACAAAATATAAAACAGTTGTTTTCCCCCCTCGGGTTATTCTCATGATCAACCAGAGGGGCGTCAAAGTTCGGGAACCGTTTTGTAAACACCCAAATATTTTTTAAAGATTAGTTTTATGATTTTTTTCACTAACTTTTCCTTAATGGTATGGTTCTAACAACTTCAAAAAGGTATGACACAACCCTATGTCATTTCATCAAACTAAAATCTGGTTCAGCGTGGGTGTGAGTTGTTTAACAAAGTATTATTGGTTCAACAAATATTAATTTCATTTTTTTTTTTTTTCAAATAGGAATAATTTTTTTTTTTAAATAGTAATAAATTTATTTCAATAATATTAAACTTTTAGCTCTATATAATCTTTAAATTTTTAGAAGAAAGTTTAAAGGTATTTTGCAAAAGTAACCATATTTTTTTTTTGCAATTAAAGTTATATTTTAAATTTATGTGCAATAATTTACTTTTATACTTTTTTTTTCAAGTGAAGTTTTTTTTGATCCTGCCGTTTTTCCCCTGTATAACGACTGTATTCGTTTTAAGGTGGTAGACCACTATTAAAAATCAAAAAAATCGTTTTTTCAGTTTTAAAGTTTTTAAGTAATATAATTATTGTAGATTAGGAATTTCGAATTAGTTTTATATAAAATTAAAGCTAACCCTATTAAAAACCAATTTTTAATAATGCGGTTTAGGATATTTTTAAAATTTTTCCATAGCAACGGATTGTTTATTCCGTTGCTATGTAGTTAAAAAGCAAGTTATCTTTCAAAATACCATAAAAATTCATAAAAAAACTTCATGTGTGGCAACTGCTACTCTAAAATTACTTTTTGTTTAATAATAAATGTTTTTGGTGCTGTATGTTACATGGTTATTAACCGATTTCTTCACTATATGTCTAATCACTTAACAACAACCACATCAATCTTTGGCTTA